CTAGTGGAGTTACCTATAATTAATTAATTAAAATTTTAACTAATTAATTTTATATTGCTAGTTCTTAAACGAGCATCTCATTTTCTTTCAAGAGACTTTTACACGTGTTTGACCCATTAGAGAAGTCAGAGAATAAGAAAATTAAAGACGGGTCAAAATTTTCTTTATATTTTTTCAATATAAGCATATAACCACTAATGAAATCAAAATGAATTTGGATACTTTCGTTACGTGAATGAAACATTTATTCCCTCAAATTACGTTAACAATAAATTAAGAAGAACACAAATGATAGATATGAATTGATTACTTTTGTTAATTCTCCATAACATAACATAAAGGTTGACGCTCTAGATATGTTCTTGTACGAGTCTTAAGTATGGTATCGGCCCAACCATAAAAGAGAGACAGGCAAAAGGACAGCGAGTGAGTGAGTGAGTGGTTAAGTTACAACTTCCAACAAAGCAATTTTAACAATGCTGTCGGAGATTACTTTGGTGGGTCGTAGGTTGTTGGGGAATTCTCCAGCGCCTACCCTAAGACAACCGGATAAAACACTACAAACATAATAATAACAATAGCAATAAATTTATAGACATTCAAATTTTAAAACCATGTGGGAGCCACCATTATTTGCCCAAAATCTTTGTGATGGCCCCAACTTGAGAGTTGGAGTAGTGGTAGGGCATACATTGGAAGAAAGGGTCTTAGGTAACACATACATAGAGATACACACACCCAAATAAAATAAAAGAAAAGAAAAGGCTTCCATACAGAGTGGGGCTAATGGGACAAGTTTTATAATTTAAGATTGAGAGTGACATGGGTCCATCCTCATCTCTATCTCTCTTGAATCAATTGTCTCGGGTTTGCTAACTAAGTTATATAAAGTTAATATCAATAATCTTTCAAATTAACATTAGTTTCAAATTGTTCAACTCCGTCTAATACTCGCATGATCCACGAACGAACGTGATAATCTTTCAAATTAACATTAGTTTCAAATTGTTCAACTCCGTTTAATATTCGAATGATCAACGAACGATCGTGAACGGGAACTTTTGACGTAGGAGCGAGAGAGTAGTTATGGATAGGAAGAGAAAAGAGGGAAGGCAGGTAGGGAAAGGCATGTCATGTCATGTCGGATACATGAATGAATGAGTTGAATGAATTGAATGAATGATTGAAAGCAAAGTAAAAGAAAAAGAAAGAAAGACACGTGGACAGTTAGAAAGGAAGAGGGAGAGTAGAGATAAAGGGATTGTTAGATTTGATTTGATGAAGTGAATAATGTGTGGAGGTGAAAGTGTCCTTATAGTGAAGCTACTCACCCACTTCCTTTTAATTCCCTTTCTCAACCAAAATATGTCTTTCTTTTGGGAAACAATTGCCTTCTCCCCGCTCTTAGCTTCACCAACTAATCCTTCTCATCCACATTCTTCATCAAACACGTATTGCATCCAATTCTTAAACATCAAGTCTAAGGATATCCTCAAACTAGGTCTCACCCTGTCGAGTTTCGTAATGCAATTGTACAACACTTCCTCTTGCAATTGAGTAAGTCAGCTAACTAAACTTGGGTCACTATTGGCACAAGCGACATCAAGTCTCAATGATGCCCTCAAATTAAGTCTAACCCTGTCGAGCTTCGTAATGCGATTGCACAACACTTACTCTCGCAATTGAGTAAGTCAGCTAACCGCACAAACAACGTATATCTAAAGAGGATCTTGCTATTTGATTCTCTATTCACACTAATCTTGACTTTTTATTTAATGCAATATCTCAGATACTTGACTTCTAAAAATGAGTTAATTAAATCTTTGCTTGCCTCGTATCTCAACATTATTCCCTAGGCTCCACCATCTTTGTCAACTATATACATATTTTATTCAATTATGTCCCACCACCATTATTTTTTAAAATTTTTAATAGAGACTTTGTTGTACTTCCCAATTCTCTTTTTCTTTTCTATTTTAAATATTCTTTTTTAGTCATCAGTTAAGATAATAGTAAAATATAAGATGTTACATGGCTTGGATGCCACGTCATGAATTGTGATGATGTCCCCTCTCCAAGTGTTGGTCCCACCATGAGTGACTACTTTAAGTTCCACAAAAACCAAATTTGATGCATGTACTTTATTTTTGTTGAATTATGATAGCTATGTTAATAGGATCATATTTATGCATTGTGAGACAACATATTGTACTATTTACAAAGTCAATAATATCATAAGAAATTTATGCTATGATAAGTGTGAAGGATTGTTTATCCAACATATTATGCACAAATGCATATACTACAACACTATTCGAATTCCTTTCTTTTCCATAGGTTTTCGACAGTAGAAGCATGCTCTAGTCAACAAGCCTAGTAGATACATTAACGAGCCCTTTCAATAGGTTTATGCTTGCTTGCATGAATCGTGTATAGAGAAATACTATATATCCGATTTTACCTAGACAAGAAAGTTAGCCCAAAGAATAATCGTGAATAAATAGGTCACACTAGTCAAAATACATAGTAGAAGGAGTTAAGTGTTCGTTCAATATCTTCTGCAATCAAATGATTCTTAGCTCTATGATTCATATTGAAATGCTTTACGACATGTTAGGTGAACTTAATGCATTATTGATGCGTATGAATGCATATTGGCGTGTGAAAATAATCTTTGTAGGTTTGCAACAAGTTATCCACTCTAACTGAGTAGTGTGAGATCAAGACAATTGTCGAAGCACTTTTTGCCCTAAAAGGTAGTTATTCACACGTAAAAACATTTTGGCTAAAAGGGGACCACATCTAATTGTTCCAAATATTGGTGAGGAAGGCAGGTGGAAAAAAGAGGTAATCTTAGCCTTGAATTTGAGGAAATTGAGGAATTATTTAAGGAATGTTGCCCTCCCACCTAATTTGTAAAACAGAACACGAAGAAGAAAAGGAGAACGCTCTACATCATTGACTTTACGAGCATGCTTGTCTAATTCTAAGGATGACTTAGAACGGGATCACATAATCCTGATAACCACGTGTAGCTACTAAGCATGGAACTCTCCCTTGAAATCTATAGCAAATTTGTCATCTCTCGGCGATCCTTCACCAAGAAATGTCCATCACTCCATAACTCATAAGTAGCATAATGCGCCCATCACGCTCCTAGAAGTCCATAACTTGAACTTAGTCTCTGATGACTCCAACCAAAACCTTGTCGGTCATGATGATCTCCATTTCTCAACTTCCAAGGTTGATGAATCTTGTTTCTCGAAATGCCAAACTTATCAAAACTCCCTAAGGGTAATGATCTACATGTGGGGTACTTAATTCTTTTAGTAGTTGACATTGCATAAGTGAAATATTTTGTCTAGGTCTATTACGTGATTTGCATGTTGGCATGCTTGGCTTCTAGAGTTATGATCATGGGTACCTCCAGATTTGGTATTGGGACTTAAGGTATCTCGTAACTAATCAATAAGTTAGACATCTAGCACTCTACGATGTCAACTCTCTGTCTTTCTAATGCTAGTCTGCTATCTCATGACTCCTTTCAACCTTATCGTCGTATCTAAACGCTATAACTCGGATGTACTCAAATCATACATCAGATCATACAGGATTTCTAACATTACCTCATCTTTAAATTTGTCAATCCTAAAAATTGAGACTTTAAAGGAAAAATCGAGAAATTAATTATTCTGAGGCTCGAGTCTTACAATAAGCGTCTATGACTTAAAAATGAGATATCTAGATATAAAAAGATTCACGTGAATAATTTAACAAACATGAATAATATAAGATTTAAGAACGACTTAATACCCTACCAGCAAGCTAGTAGGTAAGTATTTTATACTCATTCATGCAACCTTGGTTGCGCGGTCGCTCGAAATAGATTTGTGTCTTGATTTTTACAACCTTATTTTGAAAGGGTTTATAGTTTTGGTATGGTTACACGTTTAAAAATGGATGTCATTGGAAGAGTAACTTTCCCCCATCCAAAAAATGGCACACAATAATGAAATAGAAGGAAAAACAAAAGGGATAAGAAAAGCGCACACAGTATTGGAGTGGGAAGTAGACAAGGCGCGTGGCCCACATCCGAAAGCAAAGCGCGTGGGTAGTACACAGATTTTTGTAATTATACAGGAACCGGAGTAAAAAGAGGAGATAGGTAAGGGAACAGAGCAACAGCCCATATAGAGAGACATAATGTAGACAGGGACATGATGGTCATATAATATGTTTAGCTTGATTTATAATTAATATTTGATAAAAGTGGATGAAAATATAATTGAGCAGACCCAATAAAAGTTTTTTTTTTTGAAAAAAATAAATATTTTAGTGGAAACGGATTTTTATACACCGACTCCACATCTTTTTGTTTATATTTAAAGTCTGTTTCTGGTTGCTTGCTGGGTCGCATCTTGATTTCATTTTAGAAGCATGGTGGATGTTCAAATTGTTTGTTGCATGTGCGGCGACATCGGCTTCCCTGACAAGCTCTTCCGCTGCAACCACTGCCGCACCCGCTTTCAACATTCGTATGTCTCTGCTTTTCTTGCTTCCATATAGCATGCAATATCAATTAATTTTGAGTGTTTTGCTTCAAAATCTGGCAGCTACTGCAGTAACTACTACACTGAATTGGGTCGCGCCGACCCAATTCAGGTCTGTGATTGGTGCCGGTGTGAAGGTCGTACCTCCGCCTCCTCCTCCAGATCGCACGGAACCTCCTCCAAGAAACCGCCGCCCACCGGTGAGAGAATCAAGCAGCACCATGAAGATGCCTCCTCCTCCGTTGGTGAGAAGGGGAAACACGGCACCGCGGGTGGCGTTCCGTCGCCCAGGCCCACCACACGCAGGTACAAGCTTCTGAAGGACGTAATGTGCTGAAAAAGAGGGCGGTGAATGGGGTTCCTTTAATTTTCTCAAATTTTAAATATTATTATATAGACATCGTATATATATATATATATATATATATATATATATAGTTTATAATATAGGTTGCTTTTGAGTGTGTGTGTGGGTTTATATGCAGCAGACCACATGAGTTTTGCTTCCTCTTTGTCATCAGTATATCACCCCTATTATCTTATTTGAGCTTTTCTTTTTCAAGTTCTTCCCAAAATTCTCAAAATTTTAGGTTAGAATGTTTCGTTTATTTCTCTTCTCCAATCAACTTAGAATATGGGAATTTGGGAGAAAAATTATAAAAAGAATGATAATAAAGAAGGCCCAAAGTCAATGAGAAATAATGGAGTGTTTTGTTGTTATTGATTTGTGGCCATTCATTTTATGTCTTTCAAATTTCCAAATATGCATTCATAAATGTATTTTTGTGTTATATGGGGCCCAATAACTTTCAATGTGTTAATCCATTTTACTACTTTAATTCATTTTCATTTTCTTAATCCATCTAATTAATTATGCAACTATTAGTTTTGTATCACTTTTCCACAGTTTTTCTTTATATACTTTTACGACTTTTGAAAAATAGTAATACTTTTTCTCTAACTAAAAGTTGCATTATTTATAAGTGCTTTTAAATTTTTTTGAAAGAATTAACGTAATTTTGAAAAGTAGTAATATTCGATCAACTTTTTACCCTAAAGTAAAAGTACACAAACTCATAAAAATCGTTTCTTTGATAGATATCGACCCTTTCGAAGATAAACAAAATTATGATAGTTTTTATAACGAAAATGATATCAACATTAAAATTGTTCAAACCTACACACATATCAAAATAGCGTGAAGATATTACATATGAGAATATCGATACTACGAAAATACCCTAACACGTTATCAACGCTAAAATATGTGCTTCCTTCCTTCCATAGTACTGAAACGCTACATTCAAGTGTCTCAACGTTTAACTAACAATTGGTTGCCATATTCTTTTCTTTCATTCTAAACTATCTTTCCACTTTCATCACTCATCACATGATTCATTGCTTAATCCCTTTCCTTTCTCTTTCTCTTTCTTTCTTCTTCTCACTCACAAGCAACTCTCATTGTTTTTTCTTTTCTAATTCATTAATTCCACAAATTACTTTTTATTAAATATGTGGTTGTATTAATAAATTATTGTTTTATTAATTACTTCAACACGTGGAAATGCCTATGTGTTATTTGACACGTGAAACCTAATTAACCCATTAAAAGACTATTCATTATTATTGGTCTTACCTATGCTTAACACATGTTAAGTATTAATAATATATGAAATTATTGTTAATAAGTTTAACATATTTTGGGTAAATTTGTGAGAGTTTAAGACAAATTATTGACTGAAGTAAAGAAAACTTAAAAAGATAAATAACCAATGGATATATTTGGGCTACCTATTTTCCACATGAGCACAAGAACTCTCGGGTTCATGTATTCAAGTTGAGTTTACGAGCGAGATTTCTATCTTTTTTTTTTTTCTCATCTTGATTCGATTTTTGAATCTTTAAAACATAAAATACGGTAAAATTTGAATCATAATAAAGACAAACCAGGAACACCACAATCAAATACAAAACAAAATCTCATTATAAAGTGACGTTCAAATTTATTACAAATGAAAAAATGAGTTCGAGATACAAATGATTTGAAATAAAAAAACGTATTGATGCTCCAAAATGGCCCCATGACCACACATTTGTTGAACGCTCTCACCTCAACCTCTAGTCTGCGAACACTTGAAAAAAAAAGGGGAAAGGGTTGAATATAAAAATACTTTGTAAGCAACCTACTTGTAGTTTTTCATTGTATCTTTAACCTAGTAGGTTTTCAGAACCTTACTCTAGGCTCTTGGAAGTTTAGGCTTAGTCTCTAACAATCTCTGGACATGTAGCCTTTCTTCCTGCAATTGTAGTAAATACCTTCAAATTTCTTCCCTTGAGAGCTCTTGTTGTTCATTCTTTTGAGCTCTCCTTGGTTGTGCAGTCCCTTGGTGACCTTTTCTTGTGTCACCATTTTTGTATCCACGTTTGGTAGATGGCTTATTGTTGCTCCGACTCTCACTTGTGTAGAGTGCTTCTTCTTCATTCTCTCATGTGATTCCTCCCATTTGTTTAGTCATGGCTTCTTGGCTGGCTAACAAATTTTCAACCTCTACAACTGACGGTTAAGTAGGCCATCTTAGTACAGCAATAACAAAGTATATTCTGGTCACAATCTGTGGATAATGAACCAGATCAACTGACTTTGTGGAAATACTAAGCAATCGTCATGCTACGTTGTGAGATTGATAACAGTTCGTTCTCCAGAAGTTGTAGCCTCGTATCATTCTTCTTAGAGAGCAACATCACAAACATGTCTCATGCTTCTTTCGGTATCTTTGTTAAGTTATGGAGTCTGCTGCTTATTTATAGCTTAGTCAACGATTATACATAGTAAAGCTATATTTGGTAAATGACATATAAAGTAAATTGTTATAAATAGTAAATAGCTATGTACAGTAAAAAACTATATTCAGTAAAGCTATATATGGTAGATAGTTATATATAGTAGATGGTTATATCTGTTAAAGTTATATATAATAAGCCAGCACAGCACTGAGAATGTACACTCTATATTCTTTGTATTCACTCTTACTGTACATATATGTAGTCATCAATACAAAACCTTTAGTCAATATTCTTCTTGCATTTTCTCTATCCTGTTCCTTGTGTTCATCTAGATCGAGTGTATGCGTTATTGTGCGATCCTAACAACTGGTATCAGAACCAGGTTGAAGTCACCACGATCTGTGAAGATGGAAAGTTCAAAGATTGGAATTGAGAAGTTCAATGGATCCGATTTCGATTTCTGGAAAATGCAGATTGAAGGCTATCTATATCAGAAAGGTCTTCACAAACTTCTATTGGGGGTGATACCGGATACCATGACCACGAAGCAGGGGAAGCTCAAGGATCGACAAGCCTTAGGGTTGATCCAGTTGACGCTATCCAGAAACGTGGTGTTCAACATCATCAAGGAGAAGACAACATCAAATCTGTTGAAGGCACCGTCGAATATGTACGAAAAACCGTCGGCTATAAACAAGGTTATTTGGTGCAGAGATTGTTCAATCTACAGATGTCTGAAGTTGGATCTGTTGCTGATCATATAAATGAATTCAATATGATTGTAAGTCAACTGAGTTCGGCGAAAATTAATTTCGAGGATGAAATTAAAGCATTGATTTTGATGTCACTTTACCCGAGTCGTGGGTATTGTTGTTGCCGCAATCAGTAGTTCCTAAGGAGCTGATAAACTGAAGTTTGATGAAATTCGAGATGTAGTTCTCAGCGAAAGTATTCACAAACGAGAAATTGGAAATTCATCTGGTAGTGCTCTCAGTGTTGACCAATGGAGAAAAAGTTAACCGAAGGGCCCAAATAAATGGCATTCAAAATCAAAGAACCGAGAAAAATCTCCAAATAGATCAAAAGTAACATGTTGGAATTGTAGAGAAAACGCTCACTTTCGGACAGATTGTACAAGACCAAAGAGAGAGCAGAATCACAAATCTGAAGATGATGATGATTCTATAAATTCAGCCGAAGACATTGGAGATGCTCTAATCCTCAATGTGGATAGTTCGATTGAATCTTGGATTTTGGATTCAGGAGCATCTTTTCATTCATCTCCAAATAAAGAGTTGTTTCGGAATTTCAAGTCTGGAAATTTCGAGAAGGTGTATCTTGCTGACAACAAAGATTTGGAGATTAAAGAAAAATGAGATGTCCTGGCAGGAAATCAGTGGACATTAAAGGATGTCAGATATATTCCTAGTCTTAAGAAGAACCTGGTCTCTATTGGTCAGTTCGATAGCACAGGTTATGCAACAGAGTTAGGGAAGAGTTTGTGAAAGATTATGAAGGGAGCTATGATAGTAGCACATGGAACAAAATCTGGAACTTTATACACCACTGCAGTGTGTATGAACATGGCTACTATTGTTGAGAGTGCTTCAAAATCAAGTTTATGGCATAATAGACTTGGACATATGAGCGTTACAGGAATGAAGATGTTGGCTGCGAAAGAAATTTTAGAAGGTCTGAAATTTGTTGATGTGGGTCGTTGTGAGAACTACGTTATGAGCAAGTAGAAACGAGTTAGCTTCACAAAGAATGCTAGAGAATTGAAGAAAGTGGGAGTTGAGCTTGAGTTGTGAGGAAACTCACCTAGTGATGTTGTAGCAGATACTCATGAAACTTCTGAGACTACTGTTGAGGAACCAGATGTGGAGCAAGGTCCAAGACCACGAAGAAAGTGGGAGTTGAGCTTGAGTTGTTGGGAAACTCACCTAGTGATGTTGTAGCAGATACTCATGAAACTCCTGAGACTACTGCTGAGGAACCAGATGTGGAACAAAGTTCCAAGACAACGAAGCAAGTGGGAGTTGAAGTTGAGTTGCGGAGAAAATCACCTAGTGATCTTGTAGCAGATACTCGACAAACTTCTGGTGTTGAGAAGATGATCTAGTACTATCAGAGTACCAAATATGTATGTACCTTCATTACACTATCTGTTGTTGATGAAAGGGAACCAAAGCCCTTTGATGAGGCCCTACAGTTAGAGGATACAACCATGTGAGAGCAAGCCACGAATGATGGGGCGTCTAGGCTTCAAAAATGCGTTGTACTGAGACTGAGTACGTGGCAATAGCTGAAGCTGTAAAGAAGATGATATGGATGACTGACTACTAGAAGAATCGGGTAAGAGGTAGCATGAAGAGATTTTTTATAGAGATAGTCAGAGTGTCATACAGTTGGTGAGGAACTCGGTATATCATTTACAGATAAAACACGGAAAGCGATACCATTTCACTGGCAGGTAAGTGGAAGATGGTGATGTGTTTTGAGAAGATAGAGAGTGCAAAGAATCCAGCAAACATATTGACAAAATGTGTTGATGTTGGAATATTGAGGTTGTGCAAAGCCTCAATTGGTATGGTGCAGTGAAGATGCTCATGGTCGTTTAAGAATGAAATTCTTGGTTGATTAGATCAGTCTCCAAGTGAGAGAATTATTAAGTTATAGAGCATGCTGCTTATTTATAGCATAGTTAACGGTTATAAATAGTAAAACTATATCTGGTAAACGACATATAAAGTAAATTGTCATAAATAGTAAAAAGTTGTATGGTAAAGTATATTTGGTAGAAAATTATATATAGTAGATGGTTATATCTTGTAAAGCTACATATATAGTAAGCTGAAACCATATATATCTTTTCCAGCAGAGTTTTGAAAATGTACTTTCTATATTCTCTGTATTCTCTTTTATTGTACATATCTGTAGTCATCAATACAAAATTTTTAGCCAATATTCTCCTTGAATTTTCTCTATCCTGTTATTTGTGTTAATCTAGATCGAGTGTGTGTATTGTTGGGCGATCTTAACAATCTTGTCATCCCAAATGTGTTCTAACATCTCTTCTTTGATTGTGATCTTCAAGGAATACCTTGTTTTGTCTACTTTGATTCTCCATTTGTGTAAGGGGCCATTAGAATACTCCTGGCGGCATAGTTTCACTCCCTCCAACGAGCTCTCGAAAGTCATATCCTTGTAATATAACATCATGCATGTTGCTCATGTGTTGTAGTTGTTTTTGTTGAGTTTCTTGATTCCTTCAACGATTTGGAAATCATCTATTGTGTTGGCAATCCCTCAATGATACCAAACAAGTATTTTCGACACAAAACTTGCAGTCACTGACTACTCATGACACAAAAAAACTCACTCATTAAATCTTGAGCTCTCAAACAAACTCAAGAAATCGTTTTTGATGTGGAAGATCATACAGAGTTGCAACCATAGAGCATATTAAGAATTCCAAGAGATCAGACAACCTACACTAACCCTGTTCTGATACCACATTGTTGAAAACAACGCTTTGTGGGAAATACTTGCACTCTTTATTGACACCAATCGAAAAGAGATTACAAGACATTTCTTGGATTTCTTTTGAGATGAAACCTAGGCAGAGTAGAGGGTATTTAAAGTAGAGACGAGACAATCTATTCCAAAAATATCTCAATCTTTTTATTAAAATATCTAAGCATTTTTATTCTAAAATATCTCACCATTTTTATTCTAAAATACTTAAATTATTTTTCTAAAAATAAATATGCAATCGATTCTTACCATCGTTGAGTTTATTTGTATTCGACCAATAATGATATTTTAAGATCAGTCACCACTTTATCGTACTTGATTGAGGAAGTTTTATAACTTTAAGTAATTGTTGTGAATTTTCATTTTGATGTCTCTCATTATTTGAGAGACCAAAGCACTATCTTGATGCTTCATTATTCATTATCGTGGTTTAAACTGCTATATCTTATTATTTTGTTTGAAGCTAATGTTTCTGTAAGGAATTTGACCATTCATTTTCATCTTTTAGTTATAATCTCAGTATCTCTAATATATTTCCTTTATGTAAGTTCAAAAGAATCAGACTCGGTGATGATATTTTAACATGCCTCTTCGACACTAGTCTTATTTGCTTCCTCGTTCACTGCACCATGTTGAGTTGACAGGAAAAGCCCTCATATTTGTCAATATTGAGTTATCTTATGGACAATTTTGTCACTTGGTCATCCATATTCTTCCTTCAACACCTTCCCTCAAATAAAATGATAATGCACGTGCACATGTTTTGTTCTAACATAAAATCTTAAATTTTTTACTAGGCGTGCTGCATATTTGTTGTCGCAATGAAGTGGTATTGAATAGTCAACTTTTTGGTGTAAATTTTCGATAAGAGTTTCATCCATATACTTTCTTAAGCTGCTCTAGTCCTTGCTTTGTACCCCTTCTATGGTTGACAATGATACATATTGTGGTCTTTTACTACACCAAGAAATTATTCTCGAACCGAACTTGAACACATGTCAAGTGCTTAATCTTCGAGTAGCGTGATATTTTGCCTTGTATCTCTTGAACACATGTAATCTTCGAACTACAGGTTGAGCCTTATATCTCTCAATTTATCCATGCAAGGACGCTTTATTTTGTAAACCCTCTTACAAGAGATGGATTTCACATCTCCTAGTCTTGGGACTAGTTCCCAAGTTTGATTTTGCTCCAAAGTTATAAATTCTTCCTCCATTGTTTCTACCAAGCCATATTTTGTGATACTTCTTCATACCTCTCTGCCTTTTTAACTTCCTATTCTATAATAATTGTGTTGACCTATTTTGAATTTGACTTTTGGATTATTTTTACCATCTAAGTTGTTGAAGTGTTATTTTATTTTCTCTAGTTTTGCTTGGTCGAATCACTTCTTGCTCATTAGTGTCATTTGGATCTTTAGGCGTATCAACACTTAACGAAATGTGTACAGTTGCTCCCCCATCTTCTATGGAGAATTTTTTGAATATTGCCTAAGTCTGGTAATACTTCATTCTCCAAGGGTCACCCTACTCCCATTGAGCCATTCTGATCATCAATCATGTGGTTTAAGCATCGTGAATTAATGGTCCTTTCATTTTCATAATCGATATACTTTTCCATCATCGCCATGAGTGTTTTAGCTCGTCTTCTTCTATAGCACATAGTATCTTTGCATCCCATTCATCCTTCATCTCCTTATTTGAGGTTGTCATATTGATTTCGACCGACTTTTTCCTTGACCAACTATCCTTGTACATGTGGCTCTTGTTCTCACAATTATAGAAAATACCTTCAAATCTCTTCCCTTGATAACTCTTTTTGTCGTTCTTCTGAGCTCTCTTAGATCGTGAAGTTCTTTGGTGACATTTTCCTTTGTCACCATTTTTATATCAACACTTGGTAGACAACTTATTGTTTCTCTAACTTTCACTTGTGTAGAGTGCATCTTCTTCACCCTTTAACGTGATGTCTCTCATTTGCTTAGTCATGGCTTCCTGGCTAGTTAGCAAATTTTCAAGTTCTACAAGTGATGGTTGAGTGGGCTATCCTTGTACAACAATAACAAAACTTTTATATTCTAGTTGCAATTCATAGATAATGATCCTCTTCATTCGAGTTTCTCCAATGACAAACTTCAGATCTAGTTCAGCAGTCTCCTAACAGATCGACTTGACCTTATGGAAGTATTGAGCAATCGTCATTTCGCATTGTGATATTGATAACAACTCATTCTCTAGAAGTTGTAACCTCATATCGCTCTTCTTTGAGAATAACATCATGATCGTGTCTCATGGTTCTTTTGGTGTTTTGTCATCTCAAATGTGTTCTAACATTTCTTCTTCGATTGTGGTTTTCAAGACAAAATTGCTTTGCATGCTTTGATTCTCTATTTGTACAATACACCACTATGATTCTCCTCTAGCGGCGTAGTTTCACTCCTGCCAACGAACTCCAAAAAGTCCTATCCTTATAACTAGGACATCAAGCATGTTGCCCATGTGTTGTAGTTTCTTTTTTTCCAATAATTTGGAAATCAATCATCGTGTTGGCTATTACTCAATTACACCAAATAAGTTTTTTCAAAATAAAACTAGGAGTCATAAACCACTTACGATACAAAGAAACTTACTCACTAGTAATCTCAAAAAATTATTTTTGATGTGGAAAATCAAACAGAATAGCAAAGAATTCCAAAAGATCAGACAAGTTATACTGACCTCACTCACTTTGGTATCAGATTGTTGAACATAATTCTGTGTAGGAAACACATGCACCCTTTATTACCATCAATCGAGAAGAGATTACAAGACAAATTATAGGACTACAATTTGCTTTTCTTGAGATTTCTAGGAATGAAAACCTTAGTAAAGTGAAGTGGTATATACGGTAGAATCTAGACAATTTATTTAACAATTTATTCCTAAAATACCTAAATCATTTTCGTAAGTATATCTCTATTCTTAAAACACCTAAATAATTTTCTTTAGCTATTTAGATATTTTTTTTCCTAAAATATCTAAATATATATTCCTAAACTTGGTAGACAATATTATATTTGACCTAATTGAGCTATGCATATACAAATATACATTACCTTAAAATCATTTGAAACACGATCTAATTATTTTACGTAGTCTAGCTCGGATCTGTACAACCGATGTGGGCACATGAGAAACTCATTGATCATGCATCTATCTTCCTATGTAACCAAAGTGGCCAAGTTAGTGAGTCCAGATCGAGTTAATTTTAAAATGGAGGAACTATAGTGGAGTAATATTGTTGAATTTGAATTTATGAGACAGAGATGCTGAAGTTGCTAATTGTTGACACCTCCTTGCTCAACCCAATTCTTTCCTTCTTTGCCTCAGAAGCAAGGGTAGAAACCTGCAATGCAGACTCCATTCGCATTATATATATATATGTTGAAATACAGAATGTAACTAAGAAAAACAGGTCAATTGGAGCACTCACCTGAGTCCTAAATCGTGAAGCTGCCCTTGTGGGAAGATCAGGAACAATATCTTTCAAACCTGATTTCATGATACAAACAATATAGAATGAGATGAGATATACCATAAATTTCTTCAGCTATTCTTCAATCCTCCCATTTTAACCTATGCATCTCGTGTATGAATAGAATACATGTATGAGGGATCACTTTTAGATATATGTGTAAGGACATTTATGAATAGATACATATATGTAGGTACTTTTAGATAATGAATGGTATTAGGAAATGTCCCAAATTACATCTATATGTACATATGTTGTCATTGGTGGAAGGAGTAGAAAATCAATTAAACATTCCTCTATAGTAATACAAAATTTTCTTCTCTCAAGAATTCTATTAAATTTCTCTGTTGTCACCAGAGCAATCTTGTAGCATCAAGAATGATAGTAGAAAGATAAGTTGATAACTTCGTTCAACTTACTATCCTAAGATTTGATGGTCACTATGATCATTGGGCGATCATACGTAGCTATATTGTATTTTTAACTATTTTAATATTACAAGTTGTTTTATTTACCACGCCTAGTGTATTCAAACTTTACTTTGACTTTATGAATAAAATATATCTATGTGTTCATTTTAAATGTGAAAAATTTTACCATCCTTTTTACCGTGTCTTTTCATGTTTTTGAGTCTTGAACACGTCGCGACATACACGTACACACTCTTGTATCATCTTAAGCTTTTAAAATATCATCTTCCTCGACTCAATTCAACTCTTTTTCATCACAAGAGAGGAAGAAAATGAATTTGATTCTCAGCCATCATAAATGAAATATGTCAAAAAGGGAATAAAAAGTTAGAAGTGATAATAGAATAGATAGAGCGAAGATGTAAAGAAAAGATGAGTGAGTGGTTGCAATGGTGATTTGGTGGGAGTGAAAAGAAAGCTTGTTGGGTTGTTGAGTAGTGGTACAAAAACCAGCTGTGTATGGAACCTATGATTGTGTTGATTTAGACATCGAAGATAAAAGCAATGGAGTTTTGTGTGAATGATTGGATTGGGAAGTAAACACTTGGACATTTAAATAACCACATGCTTTGGTCCTTTCCACTTTTGTGTGGATTCAGGCCAATTATTCTAACTTTGAGTGCTCAAATAATGTGACGGCCAAAAATAAAAAAAAATAATTCAATCGTCGTAAGGATATATCATGGCTACTTACTCCCAATAATCCTCAACAATTCTCCCCTCGAACACAGTATAATATAAGTCTCTTCTGAAACTTATGAAGCTCTCTAACAGCCTTCTCTTAATCGAGACTCGACTCATTTTTTTGAAGCTCTCGAACACCCTTTGTTCGACACTTTAATCACTTTTTTACTACACCTTCGAGGCTCACAATCTTTGTTCGATATTTAAGGATTCTATTGTCATTGCTAAATTTAGGGCATGATTCTGATACCATGTTAGATGAACACGACTCTCTACAATGATATGATATTGTCTACTTTGAGCATAAGCTCTCATGTCTTTGTTTTGAGCTTCCCTTAAAGCCTCGTATCAATGGAGATAGTATTCCTTACTTATCAACTCATGATTTTCAACTAAATGAACCAACGTGAGACTGACTCCCAATAATACTCAACAATGCAATTACTCAACAATGCAATTATTAACGTGAGAGTGAGAGGGTGAGGGTGAAGAAGAAAAAAGGAGGATTTTGTGGTGAAAGCTAAAACCAAGTTGAGATGTACACATCCAATCATTTAAAGCCTTATTCTTTTGTATGAGAAACACATCCACGTTACATGTTTGTTCTTTTGCCACACACAACACTGTTGAGGAGCTGAAACATTGTTTCCTTCTTCCTATTTATAACAATTATTATTATTATTATTATGATTTATACTTTTTTTCAATTCTGTTCTTCGATTATTAGTTTAGAATAGAATCTTAATGTCTAAAAACAGAAAGTCAAAACCAAAATTAGTAATAAGAAAGGTAAGTGGATGAAAAGTTTGATACTTGGTTCAGCAGCTTTCCTTCCCTTTTTACTCGATCATGTCAACACCAATGAGTTGACCATTCTTACCCAATATATTAGATGGAGTCCACTGGTTCGATCTATTTCTTTATCTCCCCATGAATCGTATGTTTGTAACAACGGGAACAGAATTTTCTCAATTCCAATCAACTAGGCGTATTGTGTCGATTCTTTTGAGTAATATATCTAGAAATCCCCACGGATTCCTTATTAACACCGTTTCGAACACAACGAGTACATTCCAAAATAACTGTTACTCGGGCATCTTTACCCTTGGCCATGAACCTCCCTTGTATTTTTGATTCACGCAACTCTTCTATTTTCCGATCCAAAATGAAGAAAAAAAGAGCGAATATTATTTTCTTTAACTTTCTTTCAATTTTTTCTTTTAAATTTTTAAAATAAGTTTATTAGAAAAAAATTTCATTCGTCTAAAGCAATTCAATATCTCCAAAATAAACTCTAAACTCAAAAAGTAATATTCATTTTCTACTTTTACATTTACCCTTTTTATTATTTTTCTGATAAAATTGATTAATCACTCACCACCTTTTTTTTATTTTTTATTTTTAAGATAATTAGAAGATGAATGAATTAATTCTTGGAGGCGCCCGCCATGGAGGAGTGTTGTTGAAACATCATAGCAATTCTGTTATATGCTTCCATTGCCATCGGCTGCAAACAAAACACACACACAGTGTATTTTAAATGATGCAATAATAGTGATGAATCATATTAAATTAAATATTGACCTGTGATTGACATGCAAGGAATGTGGATAGGGGGTCGGTCGGAAGAGGTTGGATGTGATCGGCGGTGCCTCTGTCCCACGCAGCGGTGGGCATGAAGGCAGTGGGGTGAAGGAGCGGAGACATTCCAGCGGCGAGGGCGGAGCGATTGGCAATCATGTTCAAATGATCCATTCCTAGACCCATTCCCATACCCGCCATCCCCATCGGGCTCATTAACGATGCCAATGGGAGCTGCTGATGCAGTGCCATGGGCACCATCATTGGCATGCTCATTTTGCTCATCATCTGTACTTGAGCTTGTAATTGCTTCAAATATTCGATCACTTCGTCCAGTATCGACGCTTTGTTCGTCTAATAACAATTAAGTAATATAGTTATGTTATGAATCATGACTCTCCACAATGGTACAATATTATTCATGTTGAGCATAAGCTCTCAGGCTTTGTTTTAGGCTTCTCAGTCCACTATAGACCCTTCCTTTAATAGAGGCTCAACTCTTTCTTTGGAGTCTTCGAACAAAGAACAAAATACATAAGTTATTCGACACTTGAGTCATTTTTTACTACATTTTTCTATTTGTTCGACATTTGAGGGATATATTGACATAGTTAAGTTAAGTGCATAACTATTTTTAGAAATCATAATTCTCCATAACGATATGATACAAAGTAAAAGGTACCTTATTGGAATTTGGAACCAGATTTTGCAGTGTCTTCAACCTTTGGTTAATCTTATCTCTCCTTTTCTACAAAATTAAAGTAAAATAGATAAAAAGATTTACCATAAAAAGAAAGAAAAAGAAAAAAAAAAGTTACCCGTTCGGATTGATTATGGATTGCAGCAGCTCGACTTCTTTTAGTAGAAACGGATGATTTTGGATTCTCTTTATGTCTGTCTTCTTCTTCCACCTGAACACAGTTATTGTCACAAATTAATATTAAAAACAACATAATTTCCATTTTTAAATTTTAATTTGTTACGAAAAAGAATAAATATTGCCTCATGTGTGCTATGGCAGACGGAGTCACGGTCGTCAGTGGCGGTGGCGGTAACGGTGGCGGTCTTAATGCATATTTTGCCGGATCTCGTATTATTCATCGAATCTTGTGACCTGGCGGTAGTGACGGACAACCCTCCGCCGCCTCCCCTAACGACGGAAAAATCGCTATCGCGAGTGTCCGACGTCACTTTCTTCCCACTTTCGCCGCCGAACTTGGCGGCGTTTCCACTCACCTTCATCTGATTCCGACACCCGCTCCATTCCGTGCTCGAGTGGACCACACGCGCCATCACTCTCCCTTGTTTCTCGTGAATCATCCTACCTTTCTCGTTCTCCACACGCGTCGCCACGCGAATATCACTCGACTCCGCCGGCGCCTTGCCGGCTTCACACGGCACCATCGCGTCCATAGCCGCCGGCGTTAGCGATGTCTGTCGATGATGGTCGGAAAACCACGGCACTAAATCGGTACCGCCGTCACCACAATGGCCGTTAAAACCAATAATCTCACCATGGCATGTTCCTTGGTTCACTAAAGACTCAAGCGTGCCACTCGCACGTGCCGGTTTATTATCCCACGTATTCTTACAACCACCACCACCACCTCCTCCGCCGCCGTACTGAATCTTCCCGGTTACCCTCGGGAACCCCAACCCATGCATAGCCAATTGTCCATTTTCCCATGTGAGCTCCGCTACTTCATACTCAAACCTACAAAAATAAAAAATAATAAATAAATAAATAAACCCAAAATCCAAAATAAAATAGAAAAAAAAAAACATTAAAAAATAATAGAGAGAGAGAGAGAGAGCGTACGTGGGAACGACGTCGTGTGGGGTGGAGTTGGCGTGGAAGGGGGGAGGAGCGGCGGAGGCGGAGAGGTCCCAATTAGGAACACACTGACTCATTTTGTGCGTTGTGTTTCGGTCGTGGAGAAAGTCAGAGAGAGAGAGAGAGGGACGGTGGTCGGTTTCAATGCTTGAAATTGGAATACTAATAATACTAATAATATTAATAATAATAAATAATAATAATAATAATGTTTGGAGAAAATATTAATGGAATTTGAAATGGAGTGGATTTTTTTTTTTTTTTTCCTCTCTAGAATAAAACATGTTAAAAAAAGACGCCTTACTAATGGAGGAAAGAATCGTTAGCCTTCAACCAGAGCTCTAGTGAACATATGATACATTTAAAGCTATTAGGGGTCGATAACCTGACATTCTTATCTTCTATCTTTATTTGACGTATTTTTTCTGGGACCTTTACCTTGAAAGTTAGGATCATACAAAATTTTGATCTCATAATTATTTCCAAACCCTTTCGACTATTAATTAAATCCATAATTTTATGACTATTAATTTTTTACATCTTTTTTTAATATCAATTTTTCATATGCTTTTAAAAGTGAACTAAAAATAATAAAATATATGAAAGTATTTACATGTATTATATATTCATAAAGTTGAGATAAGTATTTTATATTATGGTTTAAGTTTATGGGGTTTTAATTTCATATTTAAACTCTTCGAATGAGAAGATATTTTGTGTGTATCGTTATTGTTTCATATCTAAATAGTTTTAACTATTTCTGTGGGTGACTAGGAAAAGATATTTGTTAAAAGGAAAAAGAAAAAAGATTATATTATAATGTGAGGTACACGTGTCAAACACGTGGAAATCAATATTGCCTAAAATATTCTAATGACATGTGGTGGCAGAAGGAACACGTACAGGAAAACCAAGCTTTAAGGTAATGCCACGTGTTATCCACGCGCTGTCTGTACAGCTAGTCAACGTATAGCAGTTGGGGAGTTATTTCATTGGTCCATTTATCTCTCCGCTTGAAGCAAAAAATGGTTATTTTTCCATTTCACGTGAAACACACATGCTTATAATAATTATATATGTATATTTGCATAATTTAAGATTTTTATTTCTAACGAAGCAATGTAATAAATTTATCTAAAGTTCAATTATTTCTTTTTTAAAATAAACTATATTATTTTGATATCCTTAGTTTCTTTGGAACTGGTTTGATTGGGTTTAATTTCAAAAAAACCACAGTTCTGTTAGGTTTGTGTTGGTAGTCAGCTCAATTGAATCGACTACGTCTTCTTCTTCCTCAAAATAGGGGAAGAACTTCACCGACGTGTGTTCCTTGCCCTAATACTCGGTTTCTCCAACTCTACCATGGCTTTCTCCCCTCCATTTCTTTATGGAACCTCGAGATTGTGTTGCAAGGAAGAAGTAAGGGTTTGATTCATATCTTTTCGTGAATCAAATTTTTCATGTTTTAAAACAAAAACATAAATGCCTTCTAAATTCAAATTAAAGTTTGAATACATTCGACGATAAACAAAACAATTTAAAATATTGTATAGCACCTGCTCCAGATCTCTGCATCTATCTTCAACCAACCCCTTCTTGTCACCTAAAAAATATGAGAGAATCTAAGTGGCTACAAAAAGT